TTCATCTTTACACACGGCTTACACTCCCTATTTTATGTTGCAAGTGCCTGGAAAGTGGTCTATCACGCACGCGTAGCGTGCGTAATGGGGCACTTTCCATGCACGTGTTGCATAAAATATAATATCTCCTCCAGTAATACAAAATGAAAATAATACGATTATACAAGAAAAACGTAGGATAGATGATACTTTTGCTTGGACCGATGCGAGTACCAAATTGTTTTTAAGTATATACAAAGAAAAAATAGAACTTTTGATAAACCGAAAAATCAAAACAAGAAAAATATTATGGGACAAAATACGTGAAGTTATGCAATCAGAAGGATACAATGTTACAGTTATTCAAATCGAAAACAAATATAAATCTCTTGAAAGGTCATTTAAAAACATGATTACAAATAATAAACAGACGGGCAGAGGGCGTACAACATGTCCATATCAAGCGTAAGTTTCAATTTTTATTGTAATTTGAAAACTTGTAATATATAAAGGATTAATATATAAATTAACATTATTTATTATTATAGGGAATTAACAGAACTTTTAGGTTCTAAGCATAATGTAGAACCTTTGGCTGTTTCTGGCAGAGAAGGTTTAATTTTACGAGAAGATGTGAGAGCAAGTACATCTCAGTAGGTTTATTTGATATTTTTCTTACTTAAGAAAAATATATAAATAAATATTAATATACAGGGTGTTTGAATTACCGCGTCAAGGTCCCTCGCTCATGAAGCGTGATGCCATCTATGACAATTGTGAAGCGTCAACCGATTCGATACGATTTAGTAACAAGCGTGTGAACGTAGCGCGCGAAGCGGCGCAGCCGCATAGCGACCTAGCAATAAGCGATTTCCGGGTTCTTCTCGGAAATACGTGCGTGCGAGAACAAGAGACGAAAAAAAAGAGAACATTCGAGATCATTCGTCCATCGTGGTCAGACGTGTCCGAGCTATCCTGAGTTGTCTGCTGTGTATTGTAGCTATCCGAAATTCTGAGACCTGACGCCGATATCTGCAGTGGCCGTACGAAGGTGTGATGATTTCATGACGAGGCCAGAATTATTGAATAGGACGACCACGAAGATAGAAGGAAGGACGAAGTTCATGAGAAGGACGGACGTCGCCATTTTCGGGGATTCGCCCATTACATGTCTTGATACGGAAGGAGGTTTAATCAGTGATCGCTTGCGTGGCTTTCACTATTTCGAAAGGAGGTTTTATCCGAGATTGTTTGCTGGGCTTTCACGATTCCCAAAAGCGGGAGAAATATTTCATACACGTGAAAGAATGGATATAAGGTAACTCTTGATGTTCTGGGCAACAATCATGGAGCAAACTAAGGGTACTACTTTGTAGATATATGCGCTCTATGATTGCAGAACATTCAGGATATTTCCTTTTTTACATGGGATGCTAAAATGTACAGTTGCGTCGCTGTTGATTGCTGGGCATCATCCTACGATATAATCCTGTGCTTTAACTACCGGAATTATTTCCTTTGAGTGCTCAAAGTAAACGTCGCTAATATCGGTTGCAACCACGCGTAACTTTTACCTTTTCTTACACGTCTTTTATGTTGTCGTGTATGAAGAATTATACGGATAATTAGTCTCTCGTAAAATGTATTCGCTCCTTATTACGACAATCGTTCGAATTGCTAATGATAAAACATTGTAAATATCTCTTACAAATACTTAATTTCGAATTACTTGCGTTACGATTCTGGATATAATTTCTGTATTACGAAGTTTACATAAACGTAAAGTATCTCGTATTCAGTTTTCGTGAATTAGATAAGAGTTTATATTTCGTATGTTCGATACTTAATATTTGCGACTGATACATGAATTGGAATTTACTTGTGTTTATATTGCCAAATGGTTTAATGCTACTGAGTAAATTCTACTCATCACAAGAAATTTGGATTAATAGTTCAGAATAATTTTGATAATTACAAGGTGATATAGTACGTCCTGAGTTACATCTATTGTTGAATACTTATTAAATAAGTTTCTCATTATTTATAAATTAAAAGATAATTTGATTGAAGAACGATGAAGTATGCATTATTCCAAGTTTTATATGTTTTAAATAATCATTTGAATTTATGCTGATTATATTTACATTGTAATAAATGTCTTATTAATAGTCATTTCATTTTAGATTGCTTTATAAAGTGTTAAGATCATACGTATTTGAAAATAATATAATAAAGAACATCTGGTTTAATTCACTTGTATTCTCGAATGTTTCAATTAACTAATGAGTACTCGAAAAGACCTTGATCGACATTACATTCTTCTCTGTGAAGTGACTATTAATAACCATACCGATTTCATTCATAATTTTGTGGTTTATATTTCTCTGCTATGTTTACTACATTTATATGTTTAAATGAATTTTCACTACATTTACGTATCGTTTAACAGCCATTGTGGCATTTGCTCATTTATATTACAAAATAAATAGAACGTTTAAAATACTCCGTAGATATTCGAACATGCCGTGTCTCTTTCTTGGCCCTCGTGCTGATTACGACTTATTCAAGACGTGTACATTAATTGGTCCTTCGAGCCGGATATATTGATCCCAGACGTGGTAAATAGTCTGAGTAAAATATTTCGGAGATACAGTTGGAGGGCGGGAAAGAGATTACGTGCTTTTAGTGCACATTCGGTGCGATAGTTGTTCCGGGGGACCGGTTGTTTCTTCATTCCGCCCGAATACATATTAATTCAATATGAGGTTGAGTCACATACTCGCGAGATTAGAAGAGCTGCTAGCTCTAAGTAAAACGATTGCTGAATCATATAACGAGTTAATTAAAGTCGGGTTGACGCGCGTAACGCATCAAAGGATTCAAACGCGAAGGGCTCATCTCAAAGAAGTTTGGAATCAATTCACTGTCATTCATAAGGCTATTATAGTTGCGGCTTTAGAATTGTCTGAAAACGAACAAGTGCAAGTTCTACAACATGCTTATTTTATACACAATATGTACGAAGCGACTCAAGAAGGTTATTTAGAAGCTCTTGAAAAATTCACAGAATTGTTAGAGTCGGATCAATTATCCACTACAGAACCGTCATCGTTGCAATCAGTACCTCCTCCCAGTAACAGTTCTACTTTTGTTTTACATTCTCGCTTACCAAGAATTAATATTCCACGATTTAGTGGAGCTCAATCGGAGTGGCTTCCATTCAAAAACTTGTTCGTTTCATTAGTAATAGAAAATCCGACGTTGTCAGAAATTGAGAAACTTCAATACCTAAAGACTAATTTGACGGGGTCAGCTTTCAACCTCGTTAAACATACTGCTCTGACTGCGGATAATTTTCAAAAGACGTGGGACTCATTGATTCTATTCTACGAAAATACTCGGTTATTGGAAAAAACAACGTTTCAGTCTTTAATGAATATAAAACGCGTTACTAAAGAATCTGCGAAAGAATTAGAAGAATTCTATTCTACGATAATGCAAATATATCGTACGTTCGAATCATTAAATTGTCCCATCGAATATTGGGATACGTTCCTAGTGTTCATTTGTACTAATAAGCTAGATTCGGAGACTATAAAATTATGGGAAGCGCAATTAGGATCGTCAAGATCTTCACCATCTTGGGAACAATTTAGGGAATTTCTGTTTTCAAGATTATCGACGTTAGTATCTATTGAGAAATCTCAAAGTGGAAAGTCTTCGCAACCAATAAAGACAAACGCTGCGAAAGTGAACTACCAAGGAAAATCTGTTGACAATTCGAAGGTTAAAACCCGTTGTAACTTGTGCAACGAGAACCATTTTATAACGTCTTGCCCTCAGTATAGTTCTAAATCTATTCAACAAAGAATAACTATTATCACTCGGAATCGGCTTTGCTATAATTGCCTCGGAAGACATCGAGTGTCGGATTGTCGAGTTACAAAGAGGTGCCAAAGATGCGGTAAGAAACATCATACGTCCATTCATCAATCTAATACATCGACTTCAAAGGAAAACGATACTAAGCAGAATCCTAGGGATCCATCAAAAGATAATGTGAATACGTTTGAAGCAAAAGTTTTACATACGTCTAGGGAAACAATCTTTAATTCCTCTGTACTGCTAGCAACAGCGCAAGTGATTCTGATTGCTCCGTCAGGACGAACGATTAACATTAGGGCACTTATAGATCAAGGATCGGAAATTTCTATTGTGTCTGAAAAAGTTGTTCAGTTTTTGAAGTTGTCTCGTAAGAATTCCACTTTGTCTTTAACTGGGATCGGTTCTCAGAAAGCACAGCACACTAAAGGTTCTACTATGTTTATACTCAAACCTTACTTTCAGTCAGAATTTGAAATGGAAGTGAACGCGCAAATTTTACCTAAGCTCACGTCGTCTATTCCATGTCTGTACATAGATCGAAAGAGGTGGTCGCACGTGAGTGAAATTTGATTGGCAGATCCAAACTTTAATAAACCTGGTTCAATTGATTTGATCTTAGGTGCCGACGTGTATTGCTCTATAATCAAAGAAGGAATAATTCGAGGAGATCCAAACACCCCGATCGCGCAATCAACTAAACTCGGTTGGATTATTTCGGGTTTAACAAACCACGAAAGTCACAATACTTTTGTTCAGGGGTATCACGTGACAGTTAATGATGAAGTTCACGATCTTTTACGAAAATTCTGGGAAACAGAAGAGTTCGGTAACTTCAATAGAACATTGTCAGAAAACGAATTAGCCTGCGAAAAGCACTTTCAAAATACACATTCGAGAGACGCGGAGGGAAGATACATAGTTAAATTACCGTTCAAAAATTCGCCTAGTAAACTCGGAAACTCAAAGAATAAAGCTATTCGTTTAATGAACAATTTGTTCAATAAATTCGAGAAAAATCCTGAATATGCTGAGAAATATACAAAATTTATCAATGAATTCGTGGAATTAAAACACATGAAACCAGTCGAAAGCGACCATCCGGAACCGGAATTAACTTATTACTTGCCGCATCACGGAGTCATTCGAGAGCAAAGTCTCAGTACGAAATTACGCGTTGTATTTAATGCGTCGAGTAAAACCACTTCTGGATTATCTATTAACCAACTTTTACATTCCGGGCCGAAATTACAACTGAATCTATTTAACGTACTTATTTGGTTTCGTTGTTTTCGGTATGTCTTTTTTGCAGACGTAGAAAAGATGTTCCGGCAAATTAGAATGCATCCTGATGACTTGGATTTCCATCGAATTGTATGGATGGATAAGTTAGGAAGACTTGTTATTCTTATTCTTTTAACAGTAACATATGGATTCATTTGTTCTCCTTGGTTACGTACATTCAAACAGCTAATTAAAGACGAAGGCTTTCGTTTTCCTCTAGCATTGCCCACAATGGAGAAGAGCAGGTATGTAGATGATTTTTTCGGTGGAGAAGACACGATTACAAAGACAAGATTAGTTGTGGAACAGGTAAATTCGCTTTGCATGGCGGGCGGTTTTCCTTTAAAAAAGTGGATTAGCAATGAACTTGAGATACTTAACCCTATTCCGGTAGAGAGCAGGATCGATACGTCTTGTGTGCTTATTGATGACTCAGACTCTTCGACAATTCACGCTCTCGGATTAGCTTGGAACCCTCACACGGATCAATTCAAATCTACGTTAAACTTAGAAAAACCAAAGGTCGTGTCAAAGCGGTCTATTGTGTCAACAATCGCAAAGTTGTTCGATCCTTTAGGATTTATCGCTCCAATTACTATTTCGGGAAAGATCCTTATACAAGAACTATGGTCTAATATATATTATATGGTCTAATATATATTACTAAATAATTTATAATATATAAATAATTTATAAATAATTAATATATAAATAATTGATAATTAAATGTACATTTAATACAAAAAGTACATCTCAGTAGGTTTATTTGATATTTTTCTTACTTAAGAAAAATATATAAATAAATATTAATATACAGGCGATAGCCCACACATAATTCTTTACAGCTTGATATCTTGGAAACTATTTTATCGATTTTAAAGGTTTTGAATGTTTAGGTTTTGAATTAGATCTGAAGACCTTTCAGATCTACACAATTCAAGACCTAAACCTTTTAATGAAATAGTTTCCAAGATATCAGACTGTAAAGAGTTATGTGGACTACTCTGTATAATAATTAATATGTTATTAACATTTAATGAACATAAATCTATATGTTATATTATTGTAAATTTATTTCTGATCCAAATACAAATTCAGATGAAAATTCAAACATACTATCTCATAATATACAAGAGGAAAATGATAATGCAATCGAAATAGGAATGACAAGGGACACTACTACAGGAAGTAATTATACCAGCAAGGTATAATGAAATATATTCCATTAACGAGAAAGACTCTATTTTTATATTCGACAACGTTTGGTTAATGTCGTGACAATTCGACCATTGGTTTTGAACCCATCCATGGTCGAAAAAGTCTTGACGATTAATCTGACCAAAATCAATGGTCGAATTGTCACGACATTAGCCAAACGTTGTCGAATATAAAAATAGAGTCTTTCTTGTTTATTAATTATTGGCGAAACAATTACATATAATTTTCTATATTTCATTCTTTCTAAAAAAAGGCATGTTAAATCGATACTCGCATCTCTCGAAGTCTTCTCGAAAGTCTCGAATTGCTTTGTTGGCTCTTTTCCGCGATGCTGATTGATTCTGTTGCTGCGCTAACTTCGTGAGCGGCTGTCATACCATATTTTGACAGTTGTGTGTAATATTAAAGCTAAATAGCGCGCGCGAAGCGCGCGTCTGTGATGTCTAGTTAATGTAAAAAAGATAATTATATAATTTATAATAATATAATAATATAATAATATAATAATATAATAATATAATAATATAATAATATAATAATATAATAAT